CTGGGCATTACGCCGATGAGAAAACTGCTTGGCGGGCGCCTTAGAAGGCTGGGGCTGGGTGGGTACGTTGGTTGCTGCTACAAGGTTTGGCTGTGTGACACCGACGGCCGCTGCGAACTGTGGGCCCAGACGCTTGGGACGGAGTGGGGGGGTGCCGTTGGTGAGTTGGTCGTCCTCGAAGAAGTTCTCCTGCCATAAGGAATGGAGAAACCAGGGGGCGAAAAGGGGGAGAAACGCGTCAACAACTCTTCCGACTGCGGCTGGGAAACGTTGACATGGACACGAGAAACGATATTGACAGGAGTCTACGCGCGCACACGTGCCTGCTGTGAAAGCGGGAGGTACTCCGATGGCTGAGCGGTGTCCATCAAGGGGACGTAATCGGCCTGGGACTGCATGTACACAGGTCGCGGAAGCACGTGACCTGCGTTAAGCATTCGCGTATTTAAGATCCGCTGCGGCGCAGCCTGCGACATGATGTCCGCCATGAAGTCCGCAAGGTGCATTGGCAACGGCCGGCCAGCAAAGGAAGGCAAACGAGTAGTATATGTTTGCTGAATGTTATTGAAGGAGGGCTCCATTGCAAAATGGCGGTGTTCTGAGGCTGTCGGTGTTGGGCGTGCGCAAGTCAACGCGGCGTTTGCAGGAAGGAAAAAAGATAGCTGCTTACGTCTAAAGTCTATGGTCAGAAGGGACAATCCAGATCATAAAAGTTGCCCGCCAAATAGTTAGTGCTAGGTCCTAAAGTTAATGGCAGGTCTGAGGTCCAATTAACTTTAGTGTGCGCTAGTGTGGACTTAGTGTACGGGGTGTTTCCACTAGGCCTTACGGTTCTCCGCCAGGAGTGCCCCAACCTCCAATTTGTTTGATGAATATTTTCTACTATCATTAGTAGTATCAATATATGCATTTAGAACGGCGAGAGACGAGTCCAGGACGAAGAACATTCAAACTTAGTGTTAGTGTTCGGCCAAGTGGAAACACCCTGTAAGATGTCCATTTCCACGACCTTCATAGCAACACATTTCGCTGGGTGGATGATCATTCTTGCTGCCGGTGAGATCGATGGCATGGTTAACGTGGTCCGCAGGTCAGAACGTAGGCGGACTAGAAAGCGATGTACGACACAGATGAAAATGACTTGCGAAGGTAATAAAAGCGGGGGCAAATAAAGGCGGGGGCAATGGCAAAACACGCGTGACTTTAATCCAGGCCGGGTCCCAATCCTAATCCTGTGGGTGAGGTCCCAATCCTACACTAGGGTCCTCATCCTAAACCTGCCCTCAACTTTGTATCCTAATCCTGCCCCTCTTTCCGAATCCTAATTTTTGCCTGACCGGTACCCGAACCCAATCCCTAATCTTTGCACCCCTCTGCTTTAATGCAATTTTGCGTCGACGAACGTGGGTTGTAGTTGTGGTAAGTTAGCCCAGCGTGTAACTGTTTAGCTATAGGTAAAAATTTCCCACTGGCCAGATGAAATGGGTCCGTTTGTCTTGTTCTTGTTGTTGTTCCGCATGGCCTGTCCGCCAGCCAGCTTGCACGTCGTCTTGTCGGCAGCCATAGCCTTCGTCTCGAGACGCACGCCGTCTTACGGCCCGTGCTCTAGTTGCTGTATCTCTCCGTTGATGTTGGTCTGCTTCCCTAGTGGTCTCCGTTGATGACTTGTCGTTGCTGGTCTTCTTCTTCTTGACGGTCTTCATCGAGCCGTGAACCTCGTAATAGCTGCATCAGGAAATGGCCTGTGCCTTTCGACAACAACTAACGCGTCCGCTGCATCATATATGCACGATTTTGCTGGTATCCAAGCAAACTGTGCCGACAACACTACCAAGCGCACCCGGGCGAAATTTCATCCTACCGCAAAATACAACAAAACATAAATTGAACGCCGCCAGCACGATGTGCGTTCCAATTGGACGAACGGCAACGCAACAACACTTCTAACGACGAGAGCGCGCGATTAGGCTGGCCAGGCGTAGTGGGGGCAGATAGCTTGTTTAGGTTTCCCAGAGGTGGTGTGGCGCCTCTCGTGCGGCTCTCGCTTAGTTCGGTTTGCAGTCTTCTGCACCGCTGCGTTGCCTAGCCAGGGGCTGGGAGAGCGTCCTGGTTGGCGTGAGTGAGGGAGTGAGGCGCGCGCGGAGGAACAGACGGACGTAGAGCCGCGCGCCTGCCCCTGCGCTGTGTTTCGGCCCGGTCATGGCCCCCGGTGCTCTCGGTCCTTTCCTCGTGGCGAGCCGCCCACAGTGTAACACCCCAACAACTTATAACAACGCACATACCATCAACCTAGCTTGCAAACACCAATTGATCGCTTGCGCAATAGGTACCAAACAATAGCATCCACCGCGTCAACCAAATGAGTGAACTGCCAAACATGGGATCGATGATACGGACACACACTTAATGGCCAGCCGAAAGTGCGTTGCACATACTTTACCAGCGTATATTGACGCGATAGCATTAATAACAGACAGCGAAAGCATGTCCAACGATTCGTCGTATAGCAAAAGCAAAAAAACAGTCTGTGCTCGTGCGACGCAAAGCAAACTGATAAAAAATAATAGGGAAGTAGTTGGCGGGGGCCCATAACCATTTATCCAGCCTCTGGGTCTAAAGGTACGACAGGAACCCGTATGAACGGAGGAGGGTTAGGGCTTTGTTAGAGCAGTGAATAAAATGTGCGCTGAGGCAAAATGTTTCACGGCGTCCTATGAGGTGGCGTCTCTCGGCAGGTGCCGCTGTATGCCCTCTCTGTCGCATTATGGCTGTCGAAAGTAGTAGGGTCCACCACATAAGCATTGCAGCAAACATCTCACAACTTTGAGACCTTCACAAAGACACAAGGCAAGTCCAGGAAGAGACAGAAGGAGGACAACTTCAAAGTCTGAGGTGACAGAGGCTTGTGTGTAAGGAGCCAATGCAGCTACTGCATTGAAGATTTACGCAAGATAATTCCATAACAGCTGATTGTCCATATTCAGAACTTTGGGAATCCCGCATGCCTGGAGGTCCCCTATCTCCATACGACCAGTTTCTCGCAGGCTATTCTGGCGGCAGTAATATTTGCATCATTTCCTTTCATTTTTTATGGAAGCAAAACATATGCTGGTAGCCTACGCTTTGCGCAGCGGAACCTCTGCGCGTACGTAGGATTAGGTCTTAGGATGAGGGGCATCGAGCCCGATCATCGAGCAAATATTCCGAATCAAAATTAACATGTGTTCCGATAATAATGTGCAAAAACTTTTTCAAGTTAGTCCAATCAAATTTGCACTGAACGACACTAATTGTGCATGGTGCCCTTTTCTTGGGAGATGATCGTCCCGTAGTACAACGGCCTCTGCCTCGCTCTGCGAAGAAATCGATGCATAGCAATGGCTCCTTTGAAGTTGTCTCATATTTGTTCTACATGAGGCCTGCTACTGCTCTCAGCGTGGACCCTTACTTCCGCCCTTTACGTGATTTCCAAGGCAAGATGCTTCTGCCTGGTTAACTTCGCGAGATATGCATGATCTGACATACAGTATGAAGATTTTTATGAAGGTAATTTCCAAGCTAGAGAGGAGCTGATAAACTTAAACAACCCTAAGCACCCGTCAGCTGTCAACTCAAGAGCACCTGGGCCCTCATCCAGGTAGCCAATGATGGTCTATCATTACAAAAGCTCATTGCAACAACAAGACGGTAGCAGCCTATTGAAAAACCTGCGCCGTCGAGGGTAGAGAAAGGAAGGTATGGTCGGTTGTGAACTCCTGGCAGTTTAAAGTTCTTCTCTTGCGGAATCACAAATCCGCCACTCGTTAAATAATTGATTTCAACAACTCGCTTGACAGGTCAGGGCCCGGGCCTCCCCGCCCCTAAGTTCTTGCTCTCAGTATCGAGCTGGATCTATTTCGACTCGCACGGCCGTCTGGAAGAGCCTCTGACACGAGCTAATGAAAATGGAGGAAAGGTTACCCTCTACTGTATTGACAGAGCCACCGATAGGGACGACCTCATACAGGGGCTCCTCCGCGATAATCCCGCACAACACCTTCGCGGATGATTTCAGCCCACAGCATGTCGCCATGTGCAACAGCGCTTCACCAAGCATGATCGGTGGCGCAGGATCCTGCGCGGACTCAAGCACGGCTACATCTCCTTTCGCCTGGGACATGGATGGAGCGCACACTCACGCGCTCGTGTCTCCGGTTTTGCTGAACGGCAAGAAGAAAAGCGGACTTTTATCCGGGTTGAAGAAGATGTTTTATCACCAGAGCTCGAAGGCCGAAGGCCGCGCTGCGACAGGCGAGGGTGAGCGAGGCGCCAATGCGTCTGTCACTTCCTCCGATGGCACGTCCTCGGCTCTCAACCAGACCGTCCGAGGGAAGGTGGACCGCAGTTTGAAATCTCCGTCCTCACTGCGGGTCCAGACGGGCTTCAACCGCGGCCTCACCCTCGCAGCACTGCTCACCTCCCCCGTCCGCGGCCCCACTGCGGCCCCTGGCTCCCCAGCTGTTGTTCCCAACAGCCCCATGCCCCCCATGCGCCTTGACCATGCTGCCTCCTCCTCCTCCTCCTCCTTCGCCAACCTCGCGCTCTCCGCCGACATCGAAACCGCCTATCCCACCACCACCACCGCCACCACCACCAGCAACAGCGGCACTGGTGGCGGCGGTGGCGGCGGCGCCGGTTCCCAGTCCGCAGGCAAGCTGGTTCACAGCGCCCAATCCCCCCAGCTAGTGGCCACCAACCACTCCAACAATCAACAACTAACCACCAACAAATCCGCTTGGGCAGGGAGCCCGTTGCCGTACCACCACTACCACCAGCCCCAGCAGCAGCCGGCAGGTCCGGCTGCCCGGGGCCTTCTGCAGAAGAGCTACAGTACCGCGCTCCCCGGCAGTGCCGGCGGGACTATGATGTCCTCCGTGTCGTCGAGCAGTACACTCTCCGCGGCGCTGCTGATGCGGGGAGACAGTGTTGACGCACCGTGTCGCAGCAGCGGCTCCGGAGCCGGCGGCCGCATTGGACTGCCGTACATTGCTTCGCCGCGAAACCCGCAGGACGGTAGCCACAGCGTCCACGGCGGTGGCGGTGGCAGTGGCAGTGGCGGTGGCGGTGGCGGAAA